AAAAAAAAAAAAAGAGGAATAGTGCAGAAAGTGATTTGTATATCGTAATCTAGGAGAAAATATGAGAAAAAATTTTAATATGGTAAAATTGTTACTTCTCAAACAAAGAAGATGTACTAAGAAAAAAAAACAAAATTAAATATACACTTGCCAAGTTTGAAAAAAGTTATTTATGTCTAATATCAAGCCTAATTTCAGAGTAAAAATGAATATATAAACAATATTATGAAGCATAGAGTTTCTCCATGTTAGCATCCGAAGCGTGAGAGTTTGCCACTTAAACTCAACATGTTTTGAATTAATATATATACTAGTACGACACCCGTGTACTACACGGGTTGTTTGAAAAAAAAAATATAAAAGATAAAATAATAGAAAAACACCTGTTGTTGTATAACTATTTCAACTCTTTAAAATATATTAGAATGATCATGTAATATTCTATAACTATTCCAATGTATTTTTATAGATATTCTAAAAAGATTTAAATAATTTATTTATCGTGGTGTTTATCAAAATTTATTTTATTTTTATTTCAATTTTTTAAAATATACTAGTAATTACCCGTGCGATGCACGGGGAAATTATTATCTATACACTTTTTAGAATGCACCTTTGTATATAAGTTATGTAATAATGCAATGATCATGATCATAAGAATAGACATATAAACATATAATTAAACTGAAACGATCATATATTATTGAACACTTCCCTATATACAGCATTGTTGGTTTGATTCTTTGGCATGTCATCTTCACCACAAATTAAGATTTTCAAACATTTTCGGTTAGTGACATGTGAGACAACAATATATAACTGGTCATGACTGAATACTGGTTTCTTAAGAAATAAGCAAACATGAGATAAGGATTGTCCCTGGCTCTTGTTTATAGTAATGGCGCAAGAAACCATAATGAGAAACTGCCGCTGTTGGAACTTAAAAGGAATTCTAACATCAGAAGGAGTTATGGCCATTCTTGGAATCAACACCTTATCACCAGCATGATCTCCTGTGAGTATCTTACACTCAAGAACATGACTGGATAGCTTTGTCACAACCAACAGTGTCTCATTACACAAACCCATAGAATGATCCATGTTCCGCAACAACATGACCGGAGTTCCAATTTTCAAATACAACTCATGGTTCGGTATCTGGAACACTTGATACTATTCAAAAACTCAGGCGTATGGAGATCAGACAAAAAATCATTATTAGAATCCGATTTGCATGTACTGTCAGAACTCAAGTACATACGACCATCCAACAAATTCAATGATGTCATTTACTCATTGATAGACTCGGCCAAAATCCAACGTCGGCGCTATAATTCAAATTACAAATCAACTCCCAATTTTTCAAAATTTTAAAAAAAGTTATCAATTGTAGTAAAATCTAAAATTTTAGGCGAGAACTTTTTCTCAACTTAAAATAAATCCCTATTGTTATTTTATAATATTAGATTGAATTTCCAAAAAAAACTAAGTCAAAGGTTTTGACTCAAATTTTTTATCAAGTTTCTATAAATAATTTTTTAATCAACCTCTTTCAATATATATATATATATAGTACTCCCTCCTTCTTTTAATAAGTATCGTTTTGAAAAGTTGCACAGTAATTAAGATTTTTTTTTTTTGTAAATAATAACCCTCATTAATGAGGATAGAGATGGATGTTTTGTTAAAAGATGAAGAATGAATATGAAAAGATATAGTGTATTTATTAGCTAGATTGAGGTAATAATGAAAAAATATGTACAAAAGATCAATAACGTCATTTATTTGGTTAATTGTTCATGGGAAAAAAGTGCTTAATGTTATTGCAAGCTCAATCCGTGAGTTGGTTGATGCCTACCCTCCGAAAAGAAATAAATTCAAAATGACATTTTAAAAAAAAGGAGGTAGTATCTATTAATATATAAAAAAACAAAGAATTTATTATATATAATAATTTAAAATTTACCAAGAATGTTTAAATTACTTATAACGTAACTTGTTTTATATGGTTTGATGTTACATTTACATTGATATATTTTGATCTCCTACAATCATGCTCCCTAAGAAATAATAAATTAGATATCCTTGGTGTATATATTTCACATGTGACCTTTCAATTCGGAAAGAATTAATTGACATTATCCTCATCCACAATTCAACATCATCCTCCCGGTTTTTTTGTTAAGAAATTGATTCTAATATTGCTTTTAAAATCTCATTTTTTTTACTCAAATTGCACGTGCTTTTTAACAAATTTTCCTAAATTAGTAAGTCAAACAAATTAATTAATAAGTCAAACATTCTATTTAAGTATTTTTCCAACAACCTTTTTATATATATTAAAAAGGATTATAATTTACTACTGAAAATGAAGCCGATTTTTCTACCAATAAACTGATTATTATCAAGCAAATTGATCCGAATATTTTTTTAAACAAAATAAAAAATCATCAATTTTTCCTAAAAATGCAACCGAATTTTCCTAACACTGCAACGATTTTTTTACCAAATAAATTGAATTGAAAATAATTTTAATAAAAAATTGAAACAATTTGTTAATGTTTATGCAACTGTCTCTTTCCTAAAGAAAATGATATGAACTTAACAAAAAAAAAATGATATGAACTTACCAAAATCTCGATAAAACATGGTTAAGAAAAACATAAGAATCCAAAAAAATTGATGCATTTAAATTTTGAAAAGTTGCACACAATTTTTCCTAAATAATTGGATAAGGTGACTTTAAATATCAAAGATGAATCGCTTTTGTTACCAAAAATGTGGACACAATTTTGAATGTACATCCCGTCCAAATATCAGTTTTATTCTAAAATAAAAATTGCACGTGGTTTTATCCAATTTACACACTTTTCTTTAAAGAAAAAAT